CCCCCCCCCCCAAAAAAAAATAAGTTCCATCTGGTGCAAATAATATTTGCTAAAGGGAAATCTATGCATTTAGTATTTACTCTAAACGTCACCTTCTGAAATGTAGCTATTTGGCCAAAAGGAAAATGTGAATTGTTATTATTAAAGGTTGTAAGTGATTGAAAATGCTACCCTGAACATTAACATCAGTAGCAAATCTGGATTTTCCTTTCTTTGGACATTTTCTAAATTCTTGTAAATATAGTTTAACAATAATATTGTTCTGTCCTTAAAGTATTTGTAAAAATAGTAATAGTAAAGTAGTAAAAATCGTAAATATTAAAACGTTTTTGCTTTAAATAGAGTAAAGAATAGTACTGTATAGCTGCCGGAATTTGTCTCTGTCTTCGTCCCATTGGGGAGAGCCTCCTCCACTTCCAGTCTCAGAAGCAACAGGAAGTGAGAAGAAATCTCTCCAAAGTAAGGGAAATCCTCTTTTCATTGATAAGTGCCCCATTGGATGATTACCTCTATTCCTGATCCAATGACATCTCAACATTTTTTTTCAATTTGAGCGGCAATGGTCACCAGGACAAAAGGAAAGAGTGACTCTCCTATGCAAGCACAGAGACACTATTTTGTTATGTTATTATTAATTTATTATTAACTTTTGTTCATTTGTTTTTTGTAGCATTGCGTTGAAAAAATAAACACATTGTAAAAAAAAAGCCTTTAATCGCTTTGCAAATACCTTTTTCCATGTTACATATTATATTACATAAATTATTTATGGCAGGGGGTTTTCACCACTGGGCATTTGTTGTGTTGAAGAACACTTGATGGGAGCTTATGGAAGGTTTGACCAAAAACTATGAATAGCAGTCTTATGATATGAGACTAAAATGTTCAGTGCCAACATTTCCAATGTCTGAGCCTGTGGCTCCAATGAGAGATGATTTCTTGAGGGCTAAGGTCATCTCTAAACTGTTAAATAGGCCCAGCTGCTTAATATGTGTATACAAAGCTGGGGAGAAGGTTCCCATGTGCTAAGGGGGCTTTGATCCCCAATCCCAATCCCAAAAAGAAAGTTAGGGCTGAAAATAATGGGAGGGAACATTGCCAAGCACCGTAAGTCATTTCTAATCTTGTGTATTCACACTGAGGAAGTTGGTCACATCTAGCAGTACATGGAGCATCTGGTTGAGTGGCAGTGCAAGGCATAATGGGTTAGAGTGAAATATTTTGTAAGTTGTTAGTAACACTAACGTAATATCACAGGATCATGTGGTTAAAATTAGGTAAGAGTCAGACTGTAAAAGTTGCATGGCATGATGATGTTTGCAAGACATCACATTTCAGCCTGTTAAGGTGGTCAGGATAGTGAAGCTTCTGAACCTGGAATTCTTTGTCCTGGTCCTTGCTTAATCCAGCATCATACAGGTTGCTGGTATCTGGGCCACTGGGGGGGGGGGGGGTTTCTGCTGTT